CGTGGATGACCAAGAACTTGTGAAAATACTCTTAGCAGCTGGTAAGTGCGTCCCTAATTCTCGAACCATCTATTGACTGCGCGTTTTGTTTAGTATTAAATTTTGGACATATCTTCTCACCCTCAGGTATCATTTAGTAAGGGCCCATGGAGGCTAATCGTAAAGTGGAAGTCCATTTATACGACAAAGTTTTTTAAACGATAATTGCGTTATTGTCGAGGATTGCCAGCTTTCCTTATTCGAATTCAGGGTTCAGCCCACTGGTCTTTAATGAAGTGCATACACCAACCTTTAGGAAAGAATCAATGGCGCGCAGTATACAATTTAACTTTGCTAGTTTCCCATCGTGCGTAAGCCTTATAACATTTGTTCAGTCAAACTTATCAAACCCCCGAAACGCGCCTCTAGTAAGCCTCGACCTTTTTCTGATGTCTATTATATTGTACGGTACATGCATGATACAAATATTCGATTTTTATTGCTTTTCAAGACCTAACGTGTTCCGTTCATTTTCCAACTATTTAAAAAATGTTAAACCGATATTTGATATGAATTTTATTTGTTTATGGTTTGTTCACCTTCTTAAGGAGCTAACCCAACGCTTAAAAATGCACGTGGTCACACGCCAGAAATGTACTCTAAAAATGCTGCGATAAGTCAACTTCTCGACGGGGCTAAAAAGCAGGTAAGTATTATAGGTAGAAGCTTTTTCATGATTCAACTTTTAGTTGATTTGGTGAATCAACCGATTTGAATGATCCACGTTTGTGTGTTGACAATATTCTGTCCGGCATATAAACGTTAAGATAAGTTTATTGGTCCGTAGTAATTCCCGCCGACTATCCTAATTACAAACGCTGTTTTCAAACGTTGTCCGGTCTGCTAGTTGTAGTTTACCTTCGTATCCTCGGTACCTATGAGACGTCGCCTATCCTTAAATGCAAATCCAGAGCCGCTAGGTCTACAATGAAGTCACTTTCCTCTTAAACAGTGTCAGCTTCTAGCAATGCGGAGGGCAGAATGCTCTCCCCTCGAATAAAGTACAAGTCGATACTGTCTTCTCTTAACTTGAAACATTTTCTCCCAGATTTGATATATAAACCGATGGATTTGACGCTCCCCATTCGCTCATGCTCCTAAATTACGCAGATCATCGTAGCATCGATTTAGAAGGGCTTTATAGCCTGTAGATGGTGCCAGTCAGTCGATGTCCGGGTGCTGTTGGGGATTTGATGGGGAGGACATATATTTTAGTAAAGCGCCCATCCAGTTCTACGTAAGATTGCTGATCATTGGTTCGCACAGGTGCAGTATATGGTTCATTTTTTCAGCGACATTTATGTTCGGGAAGTGTCTCGTGCGCTGCTGCGGCGTATTTTGAAGGGGAATTTTCCTGATTGGGGCATTCGGACTTTGGACAGACAGCAGATATCCACATGCATGCCATTTGACTTTTGATACTTGGGTGCACATACTTTCCAGCATCGTGTATCCGTTTTCATAAGAGTGTAGACATAAACTGGATTAGTCAGTGAGATATTAATCTCAGAGTTTTCTTTCAGCTCTTGTATTTCCCTAGTGAAGCATAAAACCACTCTTATTTGTGTGGTATGTCTTAATAATTATTTGAACATTCGCGATCAATGCTTATCTCATCAATTAAGCTGACTACTTTTCGAAAACAAGCCCTAGTGTTTAGATCTTGCTTTTCGAATATTAGGTTTTCTCTTTTCACCGAAGACTCCTTGGAATTACGCTACCTCACGCTTAACAGTCAAGCTTTACAACCGCTGTTGTGCTTGTGTCCATCAATTTACTGTTTATTTGTGATTCTCGTCGTAGTTTGTGCTTTTCTAAATCTAGCCTTCCACCTAAATTCACAAGCTAGCAGTTTTCGAAGGGATAAATCCCGACGTTTTGATTCTTTTGAAATTTAGTTTGCAGCTAAAGAGCAAGCCCGCGAACGGGAAGAACGCCAGCGGTATCCACTGGAGCAACGGCTACGCGAAAAGTTGGTCGGTCAAGAGCAGGCTATTCGAACCGTTAGCTCAGGTAATGCGCCTCATTGATTTGATGCGCTAAAGCTGTTTGATCTCCCATAGATTGATTAACACATGAAGGAGTTTTATTATTATTTGTGTATGCATTGGCATTTTTCTCTTTAGCATATTTCCTGAAAACATCTCATTTTGTGGCAAATAAGTGTCTACCCTCAGAAAGTCCTGTTGTTAATAATAGTGACTCGGCAGAATCCGAAACGTCAGGACGATAAAACTCTTGTTCCAGTGATCGCATCTTCTTCTTCTGAACTGCTTCCTGGAACTCGCATATTCTCCTCTATTTTTACAATAAACCCTGTGTACAAAATTCGAAAAAAGTAGCTTATGTAGGCCCACTCATATACCCTTAGTCCCAGCATCTTTTCCTGCAAAAACGGTGGTAATAAAGTTTTGGGGGGTGGGTAAATAGGATAGGCAGAAAAGTAAATTTCTAGAAGTAAGTGTTAAGTGAAAAG